TGATTCAGAACATAAATCGTTACATACAACCATTTGACACAAATTAGGATGGGCTGCTGATCTAAACCGGTGTATTACTACTGCTGCTGGTGGAATTAGGAATCCCCATTTAACAACAAGGGAACCCCCCAATACTGCCCCCCATATGAATCTGTAAGGGGTACTCACTTACAAAAAAAAGGTGAAAAGGTAATAAGCACACTGATGCATTTATTGACACAATAATTTTTTTTTCTTTTGCCAAGTGGCTGTCTGTTATTCATCATGATTGACATGGTTCTGCAATTCCTGGACAATGTATTTGCATCATGGGACTTTGTTTTTTACTCGTCAAAAACTGTGTCAGTGGTTTCAGCTACTATTTTTAAACTTTCTGTCAGCATATTGGGATGAGTTCTATGTTTCAGCATAAATTAAAGCCATATATGCAAGAATGGGTGTTACTTTTATTTTTAGTATTGCTACTATACTTGGAAAATATGTAAAAGGTATTGTATCATATTCATGTATTAAAGATAGACTGGAGATGGACACTTTCAGAGGGAAAATTACCAGCTGAAAGCACGCACCATTCAATGTCGCTCTCCTTATGAGTACTTGACATTCCTGTGTATGCTTCTCTGCTTAAAATAAACTGCTCTTATGAACATCATAATAAGCTGAGAAATTTACAGTTTTTACTACAAAAAGACTTTCTTACACTATGTACCCCTTACTCATTCATGTGGAGGGCAGAGTTGGCAGACCCCCTTATTGTCAAACCATCCAAAACCTCCGGGCTAGGAATGTGGAGAAGAGGTCCTTTGCCAGGGTAATCCCTGGTATGCCTTTTTAGGGAAAACCACACACTGTTTTTTTTGCATGGGGCCCAATTTACAATGTACATGAGGGTTGTCATAAGACAACATGGTATCGGTCATTAGATGATGTAAACAAAGTGGGTTAAAAAACATGTTAAATGTTTAATGTAACAAGTTTTATTAATTTATCCTGTGTGTGCAATTAATGGAAATAAATCTACCAGTCTGATCAGAATTTGAATATTGCCTGTCATATTGCTGGGCTACCAAACAGCTACCACACAGTATGATATTGGACATTAACAGTATTTATTGCTGAGTCTGAGGAAAGATAGAGTGTATAACCAATTCTTCTAGCAGAAGAAAAAGAAGAATATGATTCTGATTGGCAACACAGAGTGGGATAATTTCTAAATCTGGTGCATTCAGAATCTGGTGCAGCTTTCCACATGGAAGAAAAATATATATTTGAAATATATTTAAAAAATATTATTTTTCCAAATATATTGCCATATATTAAAAAAAAAAAAATAATAATATATATATTAATTAATTATATGTTGAAATGCATTTTTATTACAAAATATATGAGAAATATTTTTTAAAATACCTTTCAAATATACTGTATGTCTTTAAAAATACAAATCTACATTTTTGGAATGCATTTACTAATATATGTAAATAATATATGTTAAAATTACTTTGTTATATGTTAAAAAAAAATCTGAAGAATATATTTAAAAAAAAAAATATTTTTAAAAATATATTTTTAAAAAATATATTCTTCAGATTTGTTTTAACATATAAAAAAGTAATTTTAACGTATATGTTTTACATATATTTGTAAATTCATTCCAACAAATGTAGATTTGTATTTTTAAAGACATACAGTATATTTGAAATGTATTTTAAAAAATATTTTTCATATATTTTGTAATAAAAATGCATTTCAACATGCAGTATATATATATATATTTTTAAATATATTGAATATGGCCAAAATTGTAGTATTTCCAATATATGGCAATATATTTGAAAAGAATATTTTTAAAATATATTTCAAATATTCTTCCATGTGGAAAGCTGCACCAGATTCTGAATGCACCAGATATATATATGGCAATATATTTGGGAAGAATATTTTTAAAATATATTTCAAATATATTTTTCTTCCATATGGGTTTCCATGGTAGCCAATCAGCTTCCAACCTCAGCTTGTTTAGTTAGTTTTTGACAATAAAACCATGCAGCTTATTATAGTTTCTATGCAGACCTGCACCAGATTTTGAACGCTACAGTTTTAGTAAATCTCCCCTAGAGTGTCTAGTATCAGTTTCAGTTATTCTCTCAGACATCCTAATAATTTTGGGACATTGTTTCCAATTTTATCTAGAACAAAAAGAAATTAGGGAAAATACTTTATGTAAACTGTCATGCTTAATATTTTGTTGAAGGTTCTATTCACATTTCAGCTGCACCTCAAAGAAATTCTGCGACTAAAGAAACAAACTAGAATGTGCTTTTCAACAGTATATATTTTCCCATGCTCAAAAGGGCTGTGGAGGGAGCACTGGAGGGTCACATGTCCCTGCCAAGCTACCAGTTTATCATTAAGAAAAGCTAACTTTATACAGTAGAAAGCATCATTCATAAAATAGTGGTTAGCAATTTACTGTTATGGATGTTTTAAGATACCCATGCTGTACTTACTTCTACTTAATAGACTCATTTGTCTTTATTACTTATTACACTGATATCTAATCTTCCATCACAAATGGATAATCCACTGTGCTTTTCAGCCTGTGTCTCCTCTTGGAATAAGAAAGGCTATGCTTGGTTTCCATACTTAGTTAGCTTTCTTACATTTAAAACTGAACTCCGGTCATAAAATACTTCTTTAGTTTTGTTATATATCTACAGTATACTATGTATCCAAGTATGTGTTTAAATACTGCTAATATCAAAGCTTATGTTCATACTATAGTTGTATAATCTGCTGCACTAAGGACTGAGTAACCATTTTCCACCCGCTCGCCTGCAATCTATTGCGGACAGACAGCTGCTGTAGGCAAAGCAATGTACCCAGAAGTTGATGCCTACTTCTGGGTTTCATGTGTGTGCACCCCCCAGCAAGCATCTGCTGTGAATGCACACAGCAGCAGCCTGCCAGCAAGTCCCGGCCATAAATCATCCCAGAGCTCTGTGCTGACAACCAACACAGAACTCTGTACAAATAGAATGAATGCTCTGTTTCTCATCTCTGCAAAGATTGTTAAGATTGTTATGTTAAATACCCCTTGATCATTCTAGATGTTAACCCCTTCCCGTATAGTGTGATTAGTACAGTGACAGTACATAATATTATCACTGGTCACTGTGTTAATGTCACTGGTGATGTTAGTGTCAGTTAGTCAGTTCCCATTATCCCATTATTGTAGCCCTATTATAATTCACTGATCACCGCCAGTAGTAGAATATATTTAAAACAAATCATAAAAATTCCAGTTTCACACAAACCAATCAATATACACTTATTTGGTTTTTTTTTTTGTTATCAAAGACATTTGGCAGAATACATTTTGGCCAAAGTTTATGAAGAAAAGTGATTTTTTTTTTTTATTTTTGGTATGTTTTATAGCAGAAAGTAAAAAAAATATTGTTTTTTTCCAATTGTCACACAAATCAAATTGTTGGTATTTTTTTATTTATATATCGCAAAATTAAAAACCCACTGTTGATCAAAAACCATCAAAAGAAAGCTCTATTTGTGCAAAAAAATATAATATACATTTTATTTGGGTACAGCATTGCATGACCGTACAATCACTGATTAAAGTAGCACAGTGCCAAAATGCAAAAAATGTCCTGGTCATGGAGGGGGTAAAATCTTCAAGTGGGTAATGGAGGATTGTTAATCAGTCAATCTGTATTGTAATATAAATTTCAGGAAACAATGACAGCTCATTCAATAGCTGTATTTGTCACCAGTCATAGCACCTAGAGTGCATGACTTCCAAAAGTGATTAGCAAGTCCAAAAAAGCAAATATGATGTCAGTATTTCTAGGAAATACTGTATAAAAGATTTAGTCTTAATAAATATGTAATAAAAGTGTATATGCATTTCATACAGAAGTCCTTAATCACAACACTATGAAATGTACTGTGCAAGGCTTTTTCATGTATATTTAATAAAACTGGATCTTTTGTACAGGACTGTCTTGGAAGTGCTTACAACAAAGGAGAGCATAACCAGTCTGTGTGTTATTGCTTCTTCATTTTCCAATAATTTTCTCTTGGCTGTTTGTGGAAATATAAGCAAAGACACAGAACTTCAGCAGATAGTATGTCCATCAGATATGTGGGTATAAGAACCAAACTATCCCAGGAGAAAGGTGTTAAAAATGCACCCAGAGGCATTGGTATCTAAAACAATTAGGTGTAACCTTTATAAAGGGGATACAATTTGCATACTGAGCTTGTGATATTTGCCTGCAGCTCCACTTGTAAACTGTCCACTTGTAAAACGTCCCTCACAATACCAGTCTGTATAACATAACTGTTTCTTTAAAGGCTTCCAATTTAAAACCACTTCAATACCAGGCACTTTCAACCCCTTCCTGCCCAGCCAATTTTCAGTTTTCAGGGCTACCACACTTTGAATAGGGTTAACCTCCCTAGCGGTCTGATTATGTCAGTATTTCTGTGCTCAAAGCGGTACATTTTTTTGCATGGAAATATGTATTTTTTTTTATTGTAGGCCTGTGATTTTTAGGAATAACTCACTGAAATCTGTCCGAACAAGAGTCTAGTAAACATCCCGGGTATGATAAAATTTGAAACACGAAATCATAAATTATAATTTAATAAATAATCATAACAAAATAATAATATGATAATAATAAATTTAATTCAATAATATAATTAAACCAAAAACACTGAAATTTGAAATATAGCGCCAAGTTCGCACATCACTGAGCAAAGTCGCAAAATCGTTTTCAGTGTCTGATGAAATCTCCCCACGAATCATTATCACTCAATTCTGCAAGTGGTTCTAATTTACTATCGCTGTTCTCTAGCTGGTCTAAAACCGCTTTTGACATAAAGGGACGTTTTTTTGGACGCCATGGATGTTTCTCAGTTTCCAGGCAGAAAGAACAGTAAAATGCAGGCAGGGCACAGGACAAAACACTAGGGACAAAATGTATGTGAAATGGTTTGATACAGTAATGTTTTACTATGTGATTTTAGTGATTTTAGTGAATGTCACTTTTTGTCATTTTCAAATTTCCCGCCGTTCCGTCCCCCGTACGCCCCGACGCTCGCATGGGATGGAACCCAGATGACAGATGCCGGCATCCGCCAGATTACATTGCGGGAGCGCAGGACAAGGTAAGAGAAGAACAGATCCCGGTGCAGCGCCGCATGGTAAGCCCGAGTGTAGCTCGGGGTTAACGCTTGTGGTACTGAAACTTTACCCCGAGCTACACTCAGGAATACCGCCAGGGAGGTTAAAGCTAAACACATATTAATTACACAGGTTCTGTGGCTAATTAAGGTGGCAATTAAAATCACTTAGTGCCTTATCTGCATTAAATTAGCCTCAGAACCTGTGTTAATAATATGTGTTTGGTTTTAAAGAGATGAGGTGGCAACCCTAACTTTGAATGACAATTATGCAGGCATATAATACTGTACCCATATGAAATTTTTAGCATTTTATCCACACAAACAGAGATTTATTTAGGTGGTATTTAATCAACACTTTTTGTTTTTTTTTTTATTTTTTGCTAATAAAAAAACAGTGATCATTTAAAAAAGTGTTTTCTTCATTTCTGTTAAAACATTTTGCGAATAAGTAATTGTTCTCCTTAATTCTAGGCCAAAATGTAGTCTGTTTCATTTCTTTGGTAAAAAATAACCCAAATCAGAGTATATTATTTAGTCTGTAGGAAAGTCCACAAGCTATGGTACATATATCTGAAAATTGATCAATCCTGATGTAGGTCCTTATGCCTTAAAGGCTAAGTTCTTTTTTTTTTTTTTTACATAAAATCCAGCTCCCCCATGCACCAATATAACATTAATGGTCCTCAATTGCAAAAATATATAAGCTCTCTTTGATCTGGAGAGCAAGGCCTTACCTTAGCTTTTGATAAATGTCTTAGAAAGCTTTTTCAATTCCTGGAATGTAGACAGAGGGCAGAGGAGCCAGTAGGACCCCGGAAGCAGATAACCAGCTGATCTCTTTAGCACACACATCCTGAACTGACCTCATTAATACACACCCTTCACCCATCAACTATTTTTCACAGCATCCCCAGGATCTCTGCCTATGTGCATGTGGCCGAGTAATTTGCCACATGAAAAAAGCAGGTGACAAATGCAGCAAAACACTCAATAGAAAATGTGCAACACGCATCATGCCAAAAGGTTCCATGAGCTACTTTGCCATGTGTAGCGCAGCCCATTGAAATCAGAAGCCTACCCTATATGTGTCACTGGAAAAATGAGCCAAAAAATATGTGAGCCCTCTACTATAGGTGTAAATGGGGCCTGGAACTGAAATTGGTGCGTTTAGACAGAACAATGAGGCTCTATTCACATCTGCGTGTTTCCGAATGTATGTCAGTCTGCACAGAAAATGCTTTACCATGCATTTCAGAAACACGTTGCAATGTTCATCGTGTTTATGTTGTTATTACATGTTAAAGGCACCCCAAGTGTGGCAAACACAAAAAACTGTGGTAACGCTCCGTGCTCCGCTCCAAAAAAGTTCTGGAGCTTTTCTGGGGTGATTATTGCGTCTATGGCAGCCTGTTCAACTGAACACACCCTATTCTGTGATGCAGCAAGGAAGTGAAGGCTTCTGGAAAGTAACCTACAGGATGTGAATGCTGAGAGACCATTGACAGGAAATGATGCAATCTGAAAATCCATTCACTATCTCACATAAACTGACAAAAAATGAAATGTCCTGTGGATGAGATGAGAGAAAAGCACATTGGGATGGCTGGGTCAGAAATATCATTGAAAAATGCTCCTATTTATTATGAAGAGTGAAATTCTGCCCCGAAGGTGAACTTATCCTTTAAGGTTCCAAAATGGCAAGACGGTACAAATATCCCCCAAATTACCCCTTTTTGAAAAGTAGACAGTCCAAGATATTTTGTAAGAGGCATGATGAATTTTTTGAAGCTGTAACTTTTTGGTACTTTTTTTAGAAAATGAAGAAATTTTAAAAAATTGTTTTTCTCCACTTTTTTTTTTTACATACTGTCAGTACAGCGTCATCATATAACTGGTGATCAGGGACACTGACTGGTGACAGTATGTTACAAAAAATGTAACAATTTTATTAACTTTTTTTTCTTTTTTATGATTTTTGTACATACTATAACCAGAGCAATACAGTGTTATCAGAATAGTAACACTGTACTACTCTGGGGAGATGATTAGGATTTTTTTTGTGCACACTATAATTGCTGATAACAGTGAATATCACTGTTATAAACAACCATTTTTACTGAATGAAATTGATTCATTCAGTGTTTATGATTGTGATTAGCTACAGCTAATCACATGGTACAGATGTGCTCTGCTTGCCCCTGTTTGTACCATGTGATCACTGTGACCAATCACAGAGATCAACACAATACTACACAATGAATGGAATGAATGAACGCCATCCACTGTATACAATTGTCATGTGATCTGCTGTGATTGGTCACAGTGATCTAAGGTACTGGCAAAGGGAACACTGGTGGACACATGGGTGACAGATCATGTGGCATATGGCATCCTCCCAGAACGGTGAATGTCCCACCCGGCCTATAGTAAAATAATGGCTGGGTGGGACATTCACCATTTTGGGATGATGTCTTGTGCAATCTGACACCCGCTGTGTCCACCAGTGTGCCGGCCCGTTGCCATGACCGTGGGAACACTGTGACCAATCACACAATTGTGCACAATGGATGGCATTTACTATGTACCCCTTACTCATTAAAGTAGGGGGCCAGAATCAGGGGGCCCTTCATTTTTAAAATGCTATCAGATTCTGTTATGCCCCCCTCACAGACCCCCCACAACCACGGGCCAGGGCTAATGCTGATGAGGCCATTCTCCTCATCAACATAGAGACAAGGTGCTTTACCAAGTTTACATTCCCCTGTAAGTCAGGAATCCCTGTCTCACAGCAGAATGTGCTGAGTGAGGGGTGAGTCACTGGATGCCAGCTACATAACAACCCATAGGAAGCTGTCACATTTAGCAGTGGTAATAATACCACTGCCAACTACTTTGATTCCACTGCAGCTGGAAGTTTATTTGACCATTCACACAGGATTCTCCATAGACTGTGCACTGCATAGAAGTCTCTTTCTCCTGGTTTTTGGAATGTTCTTGGCCTATGGTGTTAGACTCTTTACTGGCAAATGTTAACTCTCATGGTTGAATGTTCTTATAGCCATTTTTCTCTTAGAACCGAATGTTAGTGAAACAACAAAGAAACTACTACACACATATCACAAACATTATGGTTAGTGTTCATTATGCTTGCACAAATGTTGAGACATTCATACATTTTTTTTTTTTTCATAAATATCCCTTATAGTATAGAGGAAGTGTGTGGTTATATCTAACTGGTCTGTAGCTGCTGTCAGCTAGGAGCTCCAGCATGGAATCCTGTTCAGGCATGAGAGTGCACCATCTTTCCCTGGCCTGTCAGCTATCCACATGTTTTAGAGGAGGCTTGAGGTTGGGTTATGACCAGGGGTGGACTGACCATTTGGAAACTTGGGCACTGCCCGAGGGCCCGGAGTCAGTAGGGGGCCCCATGAGATGCCCCTGGTACTTTTTTCATAGGCTTTTTTGAGTTTGGGCAAGGACACAGGGGCCCCATGATCCCCTATTGCCTGGGGGCCCCATGAGTTGTCAGTCCGCCCCTGGTTATTACTAAGTCGTGTTAAGCAGGAACGCATCAACCTTTGTACCTGTGATGTTTTTACTGTGGTCGATTTAATAAAACAAAGATTTTAGAGCAATGGCGGTAATGTGGATTGATTTCCTTTAATTCTGGAATAGATATGCAACTGCCTAGCTGGTGAGATGAGCATTGGATGGGTAGTAGCACCTTCTTTTCTTTTTTCATTAGAGGAGGTTTGAGCTGTCATTTATACTGCACTGGTATCAATACACTCCTTTTTTTGCCTTTCAAATGGACTCGTGTGAGTGCAATAGATTTTCTTTTTTTGCTTTTATTGCAATAAAATCTTTTACTTCTCCAAATGGTTGAGCTTCCTTCTCTCTCATTTGTTTTCCTTTTTGCGAATTGGATTACTGTATTTTTAAAAAGTGTCAAACTGTGTCAAATTGTGTTTTACAATAAGGAGTACATTTGATGGGAGCATAATAAGGCCTTATTTACATATTTCAGGCTATTTCTGTTCCATAGAGTGAAGCTGTCTCCTGGTTACATGAAAAAATGACCATTGCAGTGGTTCTCCCTTCCACAATGCAAGGGGGGAAATGCTCATTTTGTCTAGAGGTAGAAGAATAAGGAGTTACACTTCTGGTATCTTATTCTTTAGTCCTCTGGCAGCCAGAGCACTCCTTCACTTCCCAGTGCTCCAGGATATGCCGGTCCTGCATTATATGTGTTAAATATGGAATGTCTGCCAGTAGCGGAGCGGTGAAGGAGAGCAGCTTTGAGGGACAGTTCACACAGCATAGAGTATGCCTACGGGAGTAAGAAATAAGGTATGTATTGCTGTTTATTCCTCTACCCCCGGAACAGACAATCATTTTTTCACTGTACCTCGAGTTCAGCTTTAGCATGTCCCACCATAAACAGTATCAACTGATTCTCATTTTAGCTGAAAAGTAAAATGGAACTGTATCCTCATCAGGGGCAGACTGACCATTTGAGAACTCGGGCACTGCCGGAGGGTCTGGGGTCAGTAGGAGGCCCCATGAGATGCCCATGGTACCTTTCATAGGCTTTTTTGAGTGTGGTTTGAGTGTGGGCGAGGACACAGGGGCCCCATGATCCCCTATTGCCCAGGGGCCCCATGAGTTGTCAGTCCACGCCTGATCCCCACCATTTAACCATGCACTTAGTGCAAAACCTCTAGAAAAAAAAAAGAGCAAGAATGCATGCTTAAAAAGGATTTTATTGGTGACTGCATGTGTCCTTCATCTGATCTAAGTGCCTAGTGAAAGGTCATTGACTTCTCTCTGCCACTCTCTGTGTACATCAGGGCTCTACCTCAAAAGGAACAGTGCATGGCACTGCATAGATTAACAACTTGCCTACCGGGCACTTATACCCCCTTCCTTACCAGGTACATTTTCAGCTTTCAGCACTGTCACACTTTTAATGACAATTGCACAGTCATGCAACATTGTACCCATATGAAATTTTTATAATTGTTTTCACACAAATAGAGCTTTCTTTTGGTGGTATTTACTTGCCGCTGAGTGTTTTATTTTTTGTGCTATAAACAAAAAAAAACAGCAAAACTTTTGAAAAAAAAAGGTTTTCTTTGTTTCTATTATAACATTTTGCAAACAGGTAATTTTTCTCCTTCACTGATGTGCGTTGATGAGGCTGCACTGATAGGCAGCACTGATGGGCACTGATAGGTGGCACTGATGGGCACTGATAGGTGGCACTGATGAGGTGGCATGGATAGGCGGCACTGATGAGCTGGCACTAATGATGGGCACTGACTGGGGGCACTGATGGGCACTGACTGGGGGCACTGACTGGCAGCACTGCTGGGCACTGATGGGTGGCACTGATGGGCACTGACTGGCGACACTGATGGGCACAGGTGGGTGGCACTGATGGGCACTTGTGGGCAGTACTGCTGGGCACTTGTGGGCAGCACTGGTGGGTGGCACTGCTGGGCACCGATCATCAGGGCACTGATCATAGAAAACCGTTGTTTTTTCGCAAGGGGAGATCAGGACCTTTCCGTGAGTCACAGACATGCTGGGAGCGCACACATATGTATTTTCAAATGGTACGCAAATATGCGGCCGCTCGGTGTCAAGGCCCATACGCGGAAAGGCCGCATATTTGATTTGAAGAAAATAAGATTTCTTCATAAACTTAGGCCAAAATGTGTTCTGCTACATGTCTTTGGTAAAAAAAAAGTGTATAGTAATTGGCATGCATAAAGGTTATAGCATCTGGTGGTATACAGTCAGGTCCATAAATATTGGGACATCGACACAATTCTAACATTTTTGGCTCTATACACCACCACAATGGATTTGAAATGAAACAAACAAGATGTGCTTTAACTGCAGACTGTCAGCTTTAATTTGAGGGTATTTACATTCGAATCAGGTGAATGGCGTAGGAATTACAACAGTTTGCATATGTGCCTCCCACTTGTTAAGGGGCCAAAAGTAATGGGACAATTAGCTTCTCAGCTGTTCCATGGCCAGGTGTGTGTTATTCCCTCATTATCCCAATTACAATGAACAGATAAAAGGTCCAGAGTTCATTTCAAGTGTGCTATTTGCATTTGGAATCTGTTGATGTCAACTCTCAAAATGAGATCCAAAGAGCTGTCACTATCAGTGAAGCAAGCCATCATTAGGCTGCAAAAACAAAACAAACCCATCAGAAAGATAGCAAAAACATTAGGCGTGGCCAAAACAACTGTTTGGAACATTCTTAAAAAGAAAGAACGCACCGCTGAGCTCAGCAACACCAAGAGACCCGGAAGACCATGGAAAACAACTGTGGTGGATGACGAAAGAATTATTTCCCTGGTGAAGAAAACACCCTTCACAACAGTTGGCCAGATCAAGAACACTCTCCAGGAGGTAGGTGTATGTGTGTCAAAGTCAACAATCAAGAGAAGACTTCACCAGAATGAATACAGAGGGTTCACCACAAGATGTAAACCATTGGTGAGCCTCAAAAACAGGAAGGCCAGATTAGAGTTTGCCAAACGACATCTAAAAAAGCCTTCACAGTTCTGGAACAACATCCTATGGACAGATGAGACCAAGATCAACTTGTACCAGAGTGATGGGAAGAGAAGAGTATGGAGAAGGAAAGAAACTGCTCATGATCCTAAGCATACCACCTCATCAGTGAAGCATGGTGGTGGTACTGTCATGGCGGCGGCATGTATGGCTGCCAATGGAACTGGTTCTCTTATATTTATTGATGATGTGACTGCTGACAAAAGCAGCAGGATGAATTCTGAAGTGTTTTGGGCAATATTATCTGCTCATATTCAGCCAAATGCTTCAGAACTCATTGGACGCCACTTCACAGTGCAGATGGACAATGACCCAAAGCATACTGCAAAAGCAACCAAAGAGTTTTTTAAGGGAAAGAAGTGGAATGTTATGTAATGGCCAAGTCAATCACTTGACCTGAATCCGATTGAGCATTCCTACACCGTTCACCTGATTTGGATGTAAATACCCTCAAATTAAAGCTGACAGTCTGCAGTTAAAGCACATCTTGTTCATTACATTTCAAATCCATTGTGGTGGTGTATTGAGCCAAAAATGTTAGAATTGTGTTGATGTCCCAATATTTATGGACCTGACTGTATATATACTGGAATTTTTATTTTTTATAATAGTAATGGCGGTGATCAGCAACTTGTAGAGAGACTGCAGGACTGCAACGGGCATTCTGACATTAACTGACACTGGGTGGGAACTGATTAACTGCCACTGACATATTGAGTGATACTAATACAGTGATCAGTGCTAATAAAAAGCACTGACACTGTACTAATGAAACTGGGCAGAAAGGGGTTAACAAAGGGTTACTGTTTTGTGCAGTGAGAGCTGTGAAAATGTGGAATAGACTCCCTCAAAAGTTGATCCTGGCCAGCTCAGTGGATTGCTTCAAAAAGGGCCTGGATTGTTTCTTAGAATATAACTGGATACTAACATTTATAGGTAAAATTGTACCAGGGAATATCCGATTGCCTCTCGGGGGATCAGGAAGGAATTTTTTTTCCCAGCAGGTGCAAATTGGATCGTGCTTTGCTGGTTTTTTTTTTTTTTTTTTTGCCTTTCTTTGGATCAACTGTGGGTATAGGATTATAACTTTTTTTTCTATGGTTGAACTGGATGGACTTTTGTCTTTTTTCAGCCGGACTAACTATGTAACTATGTAACTATGTGCTTACTGTGTGTTGTTTTACTAGGGGACATGATGCTTTCTATCTCTTTGCTTTGTTTACTCTTTACAGCAGTTGCCAGCTGCTCAGCTGATCACCGAGTCCCAGCCATGAATTGCTTGCAGGGATTCGATGATTGACATTTCCAGGAGTCAATGACAGCCCTGGTAGGGCAGTGCACGCTCCCTCTAACTGGAAATGCACAATACCATATATTTATGTGATTTTGCACAGAGAGTCCACCCTGTTGCAGTACATCTGCTATCAGGTGGTCTCAAAGTAGTTAAACATCTTAGGTTTTAGGCTGGGAATATATAATGTTTTAAAACTATAAGTGAGCTATTAAAAAAAGGTCACCTTGCTTGAATTTGTTTCATGATTGTAAGTTGCTTTTAGTACAGTTTAAAAAACACAATAACCCATTATAAGCAAGATAGATTGTAAACAAACACTTTCTAAAAATTAACTTGATATCAAAGGTAAATGAAAAATAGTTGCATAATCATTATTTGTATTTGTGATTCTCCTAATCTTTCCCCATGGTTACCAATAAGCTTCTTTAATGGTCCACTATCTTTGTTTTTCTTTTCTATTATCACAGTAATTATGTTCACCTAGCAGCATTACACAAAGCAGTCAACAGAAAAAGCACATTATTGTTTAGAGTCTTGGTTTATCATGTTTTAAAACTGCAAACAAATAGCTCATTTTGAAAACTTGTGCATTGTTTCCTATATGCTTTGTAAACTCCTCTGGAAAAGTATTAACAATGCAAATGGAAACAGGCAAAGATTAGATTTTATAGAGCAAACAGAAACTGCACAAGCATTGTGTGACACCTTCATATAACCTTTAGTAAAAATGATCAAATATTGACATAAACTGGCATCTTTT